ATTCTATCCTTCACCATATGATAAAAACCTTTGATTTACCCACTCCTTTTCCTTTCCCTTCTGGTAACCACTAACTGATCTTACAGTTTAAAGGTTTATTTTTATTTAGCTCATCCATATTTTTTTCTCTGTACACCATATAGGAGTGAAATCATTCAACATTTGTCTTTTTCTCACTTATTTCACTAAGTACAACCCTCTCCAGTTCCATCCATGTTATTGAAAATGCCAAGATTTCATCTTTTTTTTTTTAATAGCTGTGTTGTATTTCATTATGTATTGATTCAGGATTGTATATTCTGTTATCTGTCAGTGGGAACTTAGGTTGTTTATAGCTCTTGGCTATTGTAAATAATTGTGCAATCAGCATGGGGGTGACTATGTTTCTTCAAAGTTTTTTTTCTCAATTGATAGAGATGACCTCTACTATTGTAATTGTGTTAAGGCAGATTTCTGTACATAAAGGAACAAATTTTGAAGCTGAGTTAATGTTTTTACAGTTTACATATTGGCTTTCCTCTTCACATTTCACCCAGCTTTATTGAGATATAATCAACTTATTGTATAAGTTTCAGGTGTATTTCTTTTACAAATGTATATATTGTGAAATGGTTGTCATAGTAATGTTAGTTAAAATGTCCATCAGTTTACAAAGAAATGATTTTTTTTTGGTGTGCTGGGAACTTTTAAGATTTAATCTCTTTCAAATATGCAGGACAGGTGGTCAGACATTGTCACAATGTTTCACATTAAATTCCAGGATTTATTCATCGTGTAACTGGAAGTTTGTGCCTTTTGACTGTCTTTACCCATTTCCCTCATTCCTCATTCCACCCACCAACTCACTTGTCACATTTAAATGGATCTGGATGGAGAAAACATATAAACAGATTTATTTTACATTGCCTCACTGGAAATAGGGCTGCCCCTGCTCTGTACTTAGTGTTTCCTGATAAGCCAATTCAGACTTTCAACTGGTTCCTAAGGTATCCTTATAATTTGGCATTTAAATGTTAGTTAGAAGAAATACTCAGAGGGATAGAATTTGCTTTTTGGAAACATTTGGGAAAAAAATCATGATCTTCATGATTTGGTTCACATGTTTGGACAATGTATTTAAGTAATAAAATATCAAATACGCTTAAAAACATGATTCTTTATAAGATGCACTCCAAGTACATTTTAAAAGAGCATTTTCTAATTAATGTCTGGGGCTTCTAGAACTATGCATTGTCAGATATTTTAATAATTCTGCCAAGAGACATTGGAGTATAAAATGCTAATATTAGAAAGAACATTATTTATTGTATATTTTTCATTTTTAACAAACACTTATGTAATGCTTCCTTGTTGCCAGGCATCTTTCTACCTGCCTTACAAATATTAACTGATTTAATCCTCATAATAACCACATGAGTACCAAGTAGCATTTTTCACATTTTACAGATGGGGAAACTGAGGCAGATAGAAAGGTTAAGTGCAATGCAGTTCTAACATTCACTGTCCAGAGAACATAGATTTCATAAGTTAAGGACACCATCCCTAGACAGATTGTCTTCACTTTATTCATTTTATTTTATTTTAGAATAAAATGAATTCAGGCCCCCCATGCATTTGATGACAGGTTACAGATTTGGGGGTTCATGGAATTCAGAAAAGTACTATACTTATGATTATAATTCTATTATATAGGATACAAGTCAGTGAGATGAAGAGGGCAACATCTGGGAGGATCCCTCAAGTAGAGCTTCCATATCATGAGGACGAGTAACCACCTTGTACATGTGGACCAGAAAGCTCAACCAAACTTGGTGTCTAGAGTTTTTATTTGTGTTTTACTCTGTAAACATGACTGAATAAATGATTAGCCATGCAATTGAACTTGGGCTTTAACCCTCAGTCTCCTGAGAGGCCCTATTAAAATTACCCTACTTAGAACCCCAATCCTCCAATCACAAGGTAGGTCCTTCAGCAAGACAGAGTCAGCCTCCATCTTGAGACTATTTTGGGGTCCACCATGAGTGAGTCACCTCTTTAGCATAGACTTTTAACCTCTAAGGCAATGCTGTTCTAATACCTGTCTTATTTAGTTCTGTCACTGAACTAATTGTATCATATTTAGTCATCATAAGAACTCCTGAGGGAGATGCTATTTCCACTTTATAGGAGAAGATGCAAAATTAGATTCAGGTAAGCTATACTTCCACTTGTATAAAGAGAACAAAATCCAGGCTCTCACTGTTTAGTGGCTGTACCCAGAAAAAGCATTTGCTTCTCTTCCCCACCTGTTGGTAGCATAGGCCATTGAACATGTTTTAAAAAATTAAAATTATGACTCTTAATGGTTCTATCTCCAGATATAGTCAGTTTACAGGTTGGAATTTCAATATGCAAACTTTTAGGGGACATAATTGAGTCCATAGCATTCTACCATGTCCCCTACCATTCATATCCTTATCTCCTAAAAAAATAGAATCATTGCATCCCAACAGTTGCAAAAGTCAACTCATTTCATCACCAATCCTAAAGTTTAAAGTCCAAAGTCTCAACTAAATATTGACTATATCATGGGTAGCACTGAAGGTAGGATTCATGCTGCAGAAAATTCTTCTCTAACATCAAACCTGTGAAAGCAGAAAATTTCTGTGCTTCCAGAATACATAGTCATAATTTAGAAATTTAAACATCACAAAGAGGCTTAAAAAAAAAACACCATTTATCCCATCCATTTCTATTTATTGCTCCCAAACTCTCTTTCCCAGAGGTGACCATTTAACTCTCCTTTCTAGTTTCCACTGACATTTGTGTGTCTCCAGCATTATGAGTAGTATGTACAACACCCATGTATAATTCATGAATGCTAGACAATACTGGCTATTATGATGCTTGAGGATGGGATCTCTTATACTGTTCCTGTGCTTTGCTTTGTTCCATCCTTTAACTATAGTTGTGTTATAATTTATTACATTTTCCTGAACTATTATTTTATTGGATTTTTAAAATCTGAGGATTCATGTCTTTCATTATTTTGAGAGAGATTTCAGCCATCATCTTTTTGTTGAGCCTTTTCCATTCTCCCTATAAGTTGCTTCTTGAACTTCAAATAAACATATAATGGATTTTCATATTCTTTCTTCCATGTATAAACTCATATTTAACATCTATTTTTTTCAGATCCATCATCCAAATCACTAATTCCCTTTTCATCTCTGTCTATCCTGCTACTTAGCTTTTCCATTGAGTTTTACATTTTAATTACTATCCTTTTCACTTCTAGAAATTCCTTATTTTTCAAATCTGCTTTGCCAATTATTATTGTTTTGTTTTGATCCCATAGATACTCTGTGTTCTTTATCTGATAATTTCAATATCTGATGTCTTTATGGGTGTGGTTTTGTATTTCAGCTGAAATTCACTGAAGATAGTTTGTTTCTTTGGATTGCTCCTGAATTTTTGAAAAAGTGTGAGCACATACTAGTTGTAACTACTTCTGTGAGTCTCATGAGGCTTGGGTAGTTTTTTTTAATAGGGTTTGTTGCCCTTGTTTTTACCAGATATCCATGGATACTGTCAACTATTGTTTAATTTTAACTGAAATTCTTGTCTTGGGCATTTTGCATGCATACAGTGTATATTCATGCATTCATGGGTGACTTTTTTTCCACAGAGACAAGTGATTTTTTTTTCTTTCTATCTATGTTGTGTAGTTATTTTCTCTATTTTCCTTCTTCCCTTAGCATGTGGCTCTTCTTCAGCTCCAGCTTTATGTAGGATAATCTGCAGTCTACTTCTCTACTCATACTAGGTCTTAGACTTAGTCCACAGTACCCCACTCCTGCCCTGGTCCTCTCATTTTCTTCTATTTTCTACAATTTCCAAAAATTTTGTTTTTCTAGCATTATTAAAGATATATTTCAGAAGGAATTTGGAATCTTTAGCCTAAGATACTACCATAAACAAATTCCTCAATAGGCTTTATAGATAATGAATTCATTTAATTCTCTATCTTCCTCAATCATATCCAGAATTTGCAAAGCAGGGTGTGTTCATTTTACTGGTAAGTGCTGGATCTATTACTACTGGTATGTACTTGCTGTGCTAAGAAAAATCTTTACAACCCATGTCCAAGTTAATGTCTCCTAAATCAATTCAGAATTCACAAAAATAATCTACTGGTTTGAATGCCAGCTCCACCAAAATGTCACCAAAACAAATGGTTAGTAATTCAAATTGAGTTTATTCTTACTGCAGTAAGGAGAACACTGCTTTGAGAGAATCTTATTAATATCTCAGATGGGAGAACACAAAGTTGGGATATTTATGAAATTTTGATATCTGATTTATGGCTGTTATTTAAGTGCAGAAACATGGTATGCCTGGGTAAGGATCTTGAGATAATGTTTAGGACTATTGTGTCCAGCAAGGACTTTGGAATAAAAGTTTCAATTGATTCTTTCTGCTGAAGATCTCGTGGGTCTTTCAGTAAGCTTCTGGAGTAAAAAGTAAATTGCAAGGTTTATATTCCTGGGCAAATAAACATTAATATTCCTGGAATAGTAAAGTAAAACATATATGTGTGTATGTGTGTGTGTATATATATATATATATGTGTATATATATATATGTAGAGCACCTTTCTGCTGTCAAGTGTAAAACAGTAGCTGTTTGAGAAAAAGCCGCCATTATAAAGTGATACAAGTTAATAATGGAACATCATTCGAAGAAACTTGCAGTGCTACACAATTAGGACAAAGTATAACTGTGGTACTAAATATACTTTTCTCAATAAGATTTCTAATTATAGTATTAAACATGGTCTCTGAAGTTATTCAATAGAATTAAAATGATGAGACATTCTCAGCCATTTTAATTTGCACAAATCTGAGATGGCAAGTCTGGAAAATTACTTTAGTGAGATGTTCATTTTGATGCTACTACCTTATTTCAAGAGTCTAGGTTCTTTTGTGACTCTAACAACATTCTCAGATTCTTACCCAGGAGTGACAAAAGGGCAGAAAGATCTTTTCCTGAGGGCTGAATGCCTTGAATGAAGATAGGGTAGAAAAAACTCCTGAAGGGTCTTCCAGAGTAAGTCTTGGTATTGTGCCCAATAATCTTACTGTACACCATTTAATCCAGAACAATTTCAACTAGAAAAAGAGCCATGGTTTTATGTAACAAAGAACCCCTGCCAATTCAACAATGTCACAATGATCTCTAATTCTAGAATTAAAAAAAAAAATGCATTGAAGTAACATTGGATTATAGCACTATATATTTTGTCATTAAAACAGATTCTGTGTATTTAAAGATTGATTTTTATCACGTACTTTAACTTATATAGAAAAAAATGTATGCCAAGTAAGTGAAGGTGTCATATTCACCTTCAGATAGAAACTCTTCAGAAACACCTTCTGACTCAGTTATTGATATTGACATTCTTCCAAAAATATTATCATCTGTGCCAGCAAGAATGTTGGTAGTACAGCATGTCTTGAGAATGTTCATTTGTAGTGGCTGAAATTCTTTTTCAATCATACCTATTTTGTAAACTTTGATGCAGGTATTCTTTTGAGCTTAAGAACTAAATCAAAGGCATGTTTTCAAAATTCTTTAAATAGTTTGCTTATTGTTTCTTTATATGACCAAGAAAAATAACCAAGTTGTTTCTTATTCAGGCAATGGTGCTACATTATGGAAACAGTCTGGTTACTGGTGACTGTAAAATGCCATTAATTGTGTATCTTGGAATGAATGAAACACTTTGTGCAAAAAAAAAAATACTAATTATAATACTTCCTTTTAATCTTTCCTAATTTATTCTCTACTGTATAATCTTGTTAACTCAATTTTCTTATCCCTCTGGGAGGGCTTCATTTTTACTTTAAATATTATCTCCCCTTCCCCCTAAAGTCTCAGAGGACTAGTTTTTCTTATAAAAGTTTCACCCTGAAGACATAACATACAATTTGCAGAATGACACTTTACTGGTAAAACACTTTATTCCTGAGAGATTAAATGGGAATTTTCAATTCAAAGCTGCAAGATGATATCAAATTAAATTACTGGCCTTGGAAATTGCCCCATTTGAGAAAGGGAAGTGATAGTAATATGTCCCTTCTGGATTAAGCTATATAATCCCAAAGGTGTCCAAGTGTGTGAGCTGGACTACTCTCTGGTCCTGGAACGAAGTGAAGCTAATAAATTCATTTAAAATGTCAACTTCACTTTAAAGTACATGAAATGAGTGGTCCCCAAACAGAAAACCCAATAGTTTAGTCCTTTGCTATTCAAGCTTCTAGTCTAACTCAGCAATTAACTATCCTGAGGTAGCAACTAACAACCTCAGTGGTTGTGATTCCTTTTTAGTGACTTTGGATACTATATTCCTGGTTATAATATACTAAGGGAAAGCAGAAACACAACCTCAATGCAGTTCTGCATATTCTGGAAATGTAGTCTCTACTTTTAAGGGACATAGAATTATATCTACTGTATGTCATCAACAATGACTTTTATGGCATTTTTTTATTTTTTGCTTTTTATGTACTTTTTTTGTTATTGCAAACTTCTTTGAAGATTTTTTGCATTTTAGCATTTACAGAGATCAGTGGACTCATTTTTTTTCCCTTTATTTTTTCCCTTTATTTGGACAGAGTAACAAACAGATCTTTATTTTCTATATGAAGGTGCAAACTATTTGCCCATTTCCTCTTTCTGAAATTAGCATAATATGATTCATTGGTCAGAGCAAAGATTGTTATCCACAGTGGGGGTTGGTGTGTGGGAGGTACATTCCCTATCCTACTCCTGACATACTTATATGTGGATCCTAATCAAGTTAACACAATACAAAATGAAATGACACAGCCAATGGTATCTTTCTTGGTTTACTTTATAATTGAGGAAGGAGATCATGCACACACTTGTGAACAACAGCAGGAGTAGGATAAGAGCAATGGCAATACATGCTGGTGGACATTAAGGGGCCTGGTCATTGTTGGGTCAGAGGGACTTTCATGTAGAGGACAGAACTTGTGTTGAATTGCAGTGACATTGCAGTAGCTTTAGAGGAACAGGGCAGACCCTTTCTTGCACACTAAAGTTTTTTGTAGTTTATCAGTTTCTCATAAAAAAACCCAGTTCAACCTGGTAAAAATGGCTGGGATGGTGCACTCAAACTCAGGGAATGCTGTCAGTTTTGCTAAAATGCATGTGGAGTGGGGTGAAGGCTAAACAAGATTCGGCAAGCCACTTAGGGAGTTGTGCCCAGCTCATCTTGGCTCTTCCCAGAAGTTATATTTATTTCCTGAACCATCTGACCTTGCAGGGCGCGTTTCACATCTGCTCCCTGCCCTGAGGTGGAGTTCACTGGGCCCCAGCTTGACAGGAAGGGGTCCATGGGAATTTGACAGAAGTCTCTTTCTATGGTGTTCCTTCTTAGAGATCCTGGAGGGGGAGATGCTGGCATCTTTTTGCAGGGACTGACCGCCTGCTTCCACTGCTTCTCACAAAGCTCATTTATATAAGAAGTGCCTTCCCCAGGTGGTAAGAGCAAGGTCACATGCAAACTGCTGAACTTCATGATGTTCACTTTTGGCAAAAAACTCAGCCTTTGCTTACCGTCGGCTTTCTTGATGATCTCTTAGAGATTCAGAGTTGTGATCTAGCAACTGTTTGTTTAAGAACATAGGCTGCCAACCTTCTTTTATGCTCTATCAGTCAAAATGACACCTGAAATTTTCAGGCATGACCTAAGCTCTTTTCTGGGTAAGGAGAGCCTTGGAATTAAGCTTTTTCAAAGAAAGCTTAGGTTGCTCAGTAGAGTGAGTAGCCAAACTTTGTGAAAGAAAGCAAAACTAAGACCTCTGCATTCCTGGAGGGTAACATTCTTCCCTGTTACCAGCAAAGAGCTGATGGGCTAATGCCAGAGAGTATAAGTAAATGCAAGTACACATGCATTTGAAGAAATAAAAGTTGCCACCATTTCTTAATTGACGTAAATGTCTTTACTGTCCTGTTTCACTTTGTATTGGACTATCATTACTTAAGTCTCTTACATATTCATCATTTTAAATGTTCAAATACATAAAATTTACAAATGTGATACACCTATTAGTAATAAAACTCATGACTAAAAAACACTAGTTTCACAGCCTTGTTGAAGAGAACATTTAGATTTAAATTATTTATATTTCCTTTTCTAAAATAGTTTCAAAATTTTAAATCAGGATGGTCGGTGCACAACTGTGGTGATACCTGATGGGGGATCCTAATGGCACCTCTCTTGGAAAAAAAGAAAAATTTATAATTTTTTTAAAAAGTCAAAGCTATCTTTATTGCTAAAGTATAATTTTCAAAAAGCTAGAGCTATGTAAACATGTAGCAAGGATGATACTAAACTCCTTTACGAATGAGGGAATGAGTAAGATGTTCGAACTTGGTCCAAAAAGATTTGAAGAATGTATATAAATTTATATACTCACTCACTTTATATACTCACAGTTTATATATATACACACACATATATACATTTATACATTATATACATGCTCACAATCAGGAATGCTGAAGGGAATTTGTAATAGATGCCACACACCACCAATCAATACCACCAATGTAATCAGCATCAATATATTAGGAAAGCCTAATTTGCATAGCTATAAAACTGGCTAGTATGCCTTAGGGTAATAAATCATAATTATCTACAGGAAGTCATTGCATGGTGGAGATGAACATTTATGAGTATTATACCAACAAAATTCACAGGCATTGATATCGACAAAATCATTTGTATTACTCTTGATTTTCTATGACTTCTACCCCTCCAGAATTTTAAAATAGCTTAACAGAATGACAGGTACATAGTTGAATGGAATCAGATAACCCTCTGGAGACCACGACTCTACTGAGAGGGTATCCCGTAATTTCTCTTGCCTGTTTAATAAATCTTGGATAATTTTCCCAACTATACATTTAATTATATACATTTCTGTATTTGGTAATACATTTTGGTAAATGTATTATATACATTTCTGTATTTGGGGTAATCCGTTTTGAGTGCCATTTTGGAAGGTGGTCTGAGCTTACTGTACATTTTAATAAGTTCACTAGTTAGGGTGTAATGCCCTAAAATGAATGCAGGTGTGATATGCTACCTTGACATCTGGTGAACCTGGGTGAGCCTCAGATAGTCTAACCAGAGTCTCCCCACTTCGCTGTCACAGATGGGGACCTCTAACCAAACAACCTTTCTTATCTAGGGGACCAGACCTCCGATGGGACTTTTCTCTGAGGACACCAAAGACCCCCACTCACTGAATCTAACACCTGTCTGAAATGATGTCAATAATCAGGGGCACCTCACCTTTTCAAACTGCAAAGCCTTCCTGCCACAGACCTTGCTGTTTCCTGTGATCCTGCATGGAAGCCTGGTGTGGGGAGCAGTGCCCTCACCTCCTGACTGTGAGTATCTGTGACTTGTTCTACTGCGTATCTCAGCTGCCCAGTGTCAGGTATTTCTGCTGTCTCCTTAACTGGGAGGTGGAGATCCCTCCTTCTCCACCAGAGTAAATAGAAGACTTTAATCAGAGTGGAGCAGGGGAGGGAGAAGAAAACAGCAGAGGGCAAACAGACTACCTAAAGCCTGGGTTTTTAAATTAGATATAAATTACTCCTCAATTAAAAAGATAATATAAGTACATATGGGATATAGGTCCTGCTTGATTTGTGAAAAGAATACATGATGTGATGGTTCTTTTTGCCACAAAAGATGAAAATGCAAAGGGAACAAAAGTGGTTCATTGAAAATGATAGGTTCCTATGGGTAAGAGGCTCAGGTTTCTACTCTGGGTTCTCTTGATCACAATCAAATATCTTAGGTTTGTGTGTGTGTGTGTGTGTGTGTGTGTGTGTGAGAGAGAGAGAGAGAGAGAGAGAGAGAGAGAGAGAGAGACATAGACGATGTGTTTATAATTGTACTTGTGAAAGATCTTAGTGGAAACTCAAGTGGTAAGTAGGTAATCAGTAGATATCAGTCCTTTTCATTCTTTGTGTTTGGAGAAATACTATTCTTGGTATAGTGATTGATTAAGTAAATTAAGGAATTTGTTCAAATCAGGGCATGTAGGGTAGGTCTCAGGCACACAGAATTAATCAATAGTATCTAAACAGAGAGATTATGAGATTTATACATATTTAAACAACACTATGTTTATAATTTAAATGGCATTATTTTCAAATATTTTGCTGGTTTAATCAGTGGAAAGACTTGAGAAAAAAAAGCTACTGAAAATTATTTCTTTGTAAGAGCTACTTCAAATCACATCTTCCACTAGAAAATATTTTTCCAAGAATAAATCTCTGTCCTGTGTTTTGTGGAAGGTATTTTAATGATAGTTTTCATAATTTTAAATATTACAGCTTCTCAAGGGATGCGGAGATAGACATGTTCAGTTTATTAAGATTACTGACATTAAGTACAAATGAAAATATATAGAGCCTTATAACATGCTAAGGTACTCATGAAATTATCACCGCATTATCTATAGTTTGAATTGAATCATTCAAGTATTTCACATATCTCTTATAGAGATTTTTTTTTGAAAGAGTTGACAATTTCATCCTTTAGGTAATTTTAAAATTTACAACAGAAGTACTCTACTGAATGAGGGGTAAACCCACTATTTCAATGGAAAATGTTACATTCTTTTATCTTTTTTAATGCACTGTTGAATTCAATTTGCTAAAATTTTGTTGAGGATTTATGCCTCTATATTCACTGGGGATTTGGCCTGTAGTTTACTTTTTTGGGTGTGATGTCATTGTCTGCTTTTGGTATCAGTAATGTAGACCTCATAAAATGAGTTTGGAAACATTCCTTCTTTCTCTAATTTTTGGAAGAATTTGAGGGTAGGTATTAGTTCATCTTTGAAGATTTTGTAGAACTCACTAGTGAAACCATCTGGTCCTGGGCTCCTGTTTCTTAGGAGATTTTTGATTACTGTTTCAATTTCCTTGCTTGTAATTTGCTCTGCGAGGGTTTTCTATTTCTTCCAGATTCAGTCTTGGTTGCTGTAGGGTGGGATGGACAACCACCAAAACATGACCAAGTGTGAACTACAAATCCAGGTGGATAGAAACTAAGGCTAATTTATTTCACTTCATGGTGCTTCCTGGTAAAAGTATCAAGTGGTGGAATATATAAGTTATGGTTCTAAGTCCAGTTGTTGTCAAAACATTAATCAAAACCACCAATCTGATTAGCACCAACATATTAGGGAAGCCTAATTTGTATAACTATAATGTCTACAGACAGTTTTAATATTGTTGTCATATCAGTATATGTACTAGTCACATGTGGAAACAACATATTGGTGTTTTATAATTTGTACATGGGCAATTTCAGGAGAAACTCATTGCAGAATGGTGGTATAAGAATGTTCTCCTTCTGTTCCTCCACTACATTTAATCCTAGTACAGGGCAGTGAATAGTCCCTCTGGTCTGCTCCCTCTGTAAGGTCAAATTTTTGGAACTTGCTCTAGCAAGAGATTTCCTATTGGATCCTACCCACAGTAGTGGCCTTGGAAGATGCCAGGAAGAAAGGAGCACCCACATTTGATGGACTGACTATAAGTCATTACCAGTCAAACTAGTGGACCATGTTAGGCTACCTTAAAGAAGTATGTCAGGATGAAATATGTGTGTATCAACAAAAATGTTTGGTCTACAAAGATTCAAGGAGATTTTTTTTTTGAGGATTCTTTGTTATGTTGGGACAATCTTTTGATAAATATAAGTAATTCTAAAAGGCTACTTCAGTAAGTTTTCTACCTCTTACATCAAAGCTAGTAGACTAATACAACTATGATTCACTGTAAGTCTTACACCTATAAAGCTTTGAGGTAGACCAACAAGTACGACAATAGGATGGTCTATTTCTCTTCGAATGCTTCGTCTGTGCAGGGATGTTGTATGTGCTTGTGTCATCCTCCAGCTACTCCAGTCAATTTCTCTCCTTTTAGTGCCTATTGTAAGAAGCATCCAGTTCTAAAATTTTTCTGAAAATTTTTTCTCTGCTTCTAGTTTCCTAATGAAATATGTTTATCTCATTTTCCATTCATATAGTCCTGAAAAAATGAGAGAAGACAAACAGATTACCAAATTTACCTTATTGATGATCAGTAAAATCTTAATATAGGTCTTTGATACACTGACTCTAAATGCTGAAAAAGTAATAATGAAAATACCACAAATCCTAGAATGTGTCTAATTTTTTACCATTCTATGAGTCTCTCTCCCTTTCTCTCCAAATATATGTGTGTATATATATGGGCATATATCTATATAGAAATATAGATATATATGTACATGTGATGCACAGAATATTTGATTATATTGTTAATGACTTTGAAATTACTATAATGGGCCTCCCCTGGTGGCACAGCGGTTGAGCGCTGGGCTGCGAAGCTGCCCACAGCCACTGCAGTGCCGGTTCGATCCCCAGCCACCGGCAAGGGTCCCACATGGTGCGGCAGACCTCTCCTGCCACGCCCGCTGCTCCCCTCAGCAGTGTATTTTGTCAGTCTGCCTGTTCTGTTCCCTGCTCTGGCTCTGGTGAATTCTCCCACCCTCCCACACTTCTGTACCAGTACTTATATAAATAAATAAATTCTTTTTTTTACAAAAAGAAATTACTGGAAATTACTAAAAAGATTTTACTTTTGCTTTTAAAAAGAAATTACTTAATAATGCTAGTTATAATGTTAGTTCAACTTCTCATCTGTAAAAATGGCATAATGATAATCTCTCTCTTAAATTCATCATAACAATGAAAATGACATGACATTAAAAAAAAAAAAAACTTACCTTGGTGCTGAGTTAAACTCTCAATAGGGAAACTCTCATAGAGTAAAACTCTACTGAATCATATTAAACTCTCAATAGAAACTATCTAGACTCTTATTTTTGTTTCTAGAAATTTAGCAGTTTCAAAATATGTAGAATGAGGTAAAAGAATCAGAATTTAATTTCTCTTTGAATATAATACTTTACCCAGGAGAAAAATGTTTTCCATCCTTTGTAATTAGTACAACCCCTTTGGGCAAACTATAATATATCAACTTACATGTTTCAGGGATGCTTTATAGCATCCATTGGTCGTATTTCATTAATAAGGGTATAAGTTTACCAAAATAAAAAGCTCTGACTTGAGAAAACAAGAGAAGCAAGAACATAAAGAAGAGCAGGGAACTTCCATAAATCAAATATGGGTGACAGCTGGGCAAGTGAGAACCAGATGAGGGAGAGAGATGGCCCTATAATGCAGACTGAAACATTTCCAAATACTGAGTAATCCTCATTTCAGTTTTCTCAAATAGCACATACTAATTTTTAGAAATGGCATGTTTATGAATGCTTTTAGTATAAAACAAGAATTTCTAGACTATCATCATGAAGGAAAAAACATACAAGGAATTAATAAAGTCCCAAATCTATGGGCTAGACAGACACATGATCACATGAAGACAATACAGTGTGGCTGAGGATCTGTGGAAGCCTGGAGAAAGAAGTTAAGCTTTGCTTGGGAGTTTGGCAGACTCTGTGCAGGGAAATGACACTGTCAGGTTTGTAAGCATAAGGAGGAATCATCCAGCCAGGAAGTAGGGGTGCTGGGGAAATGATCCTTTATTGAACTTCCCTTACATGTTATCCTATAGTATTGTGGCAAAATTTTAATGAATATGCTCTTACTTAAACCATAAAACTACCACGTGGGGGCATATTTTATCTCCATTTTACAGTTCTTGAAACTGATGGCCATAAATAACAAAGACTCAAGTTTACAGTTAGCTAGAGGCAGATGTGACCTCCAAATCTAGGGCTGCGTGACTTGATATATTTTCCATTTCAAAACACTACCCTGAGGACATTCCAGGAAAAGAGTCTAGAGAGGCAGAGTGACAGCATTTTGGGACAGAGCGCAAGTTGGAGAAATAGTAACTAGAGCGTGTAGTTTGAGGGAAGGGAAAAGGGGCTGGAAAGAAATAAAACTGGAGGATTTTCTTATAGTCCATTCTCTTTGAGATACATCTTTTAATTTCAGCCTTTATACTCCTGCACATTCACTCGCATATGCAACACCGCCTTTCTTCTCGTTCCTGCAAACACACATCGTCCCCTCAAACTGTCAGCTCATGTGTCTATGCTTCCTTTGTCTCTTTTCTGTCAGTCTCAGTGTCCTCTCCATCCTCATGAAAGAATGATCAGTAAGAGAAGGGTCTTTTATCCAAGTACTCAGATCCAAAGTGTAGATATTCATTCAAGTGGGTCAAAGGACATATCCTTTTAAAAGTCAAGGCATCTAGGTGTTTGTCTTGTGTCCTGTCAGAGGAAACAAAGTAAAGAGAGAGAGGAAAAAAAAAAAGAATAATCATGTTGTTTCTCTGATGCCCAGAATCCATCT